AGGCTGAGGCGGAAGGATCGCCGGAGTCCAGCAGGTCGAGGCTGCGGTGGCCGGGAGCAGACACTGCACACCAGTCTGGGTGACAGAGTAAGACTCCCACTCAAAAAAAAAAAAAGAAAAGCAATTTCAAATTGTGATAAAAGTCTCCCTTCCTGATAGAATAAAATGATGTGGAGTTTTTAATACAATGAATTCAATTAACAATGAAATAAACTCTCATTTGTAAACATGCAAGTATACAGAAACAACTTATTTAATGTCTATTTCTTTCTTTCTTTTTTTTTTTGTGTGTGTGAGACCTTGTCAAGGTCTCACTCTGTTACACAGGCTGGAGTACAGTGGCACAATCATGTATCACCATAGCCGTGACCTCCTGGGTTCAAGTGATCCTCCTGCATCAGCCTCCCAAGTAACTAGAACTACAGGCGCATGCAACTGTACCTGGCAAATTTTTAATGTTTTTTTGTAGGGACAAGGTATCACTATGTTACCCAAGCTGGTCTCAAAACTCCTGGGCACAAACAATCATCCAGCCTCAGCCTCCCAAAGTGCTGGGATTACAGGCTTTCAGCCTTAATACCTAGTTCTTTTAAGAAATTTACTGAACCTCTCCAAAAAAGAAATCTCGGACTGAATTTATTTATAATATATATTATTTATAGTGCTATAAAAATAGTAAGAGAAGGCCAGATGTGGTGGCTCATGCTTACAATCCCAGCACTTTAGGAGGCCGAGGTGAGAGGATTGAGTGCCTAAGCCCACAGGTTCAAGACCAGCCTGGGGAACTAGGCGAGAGCTCATCTCTACAATCAATCAAGAAAAATTAGCCGGGCGTGGTGGCACGTGCCTGTAGTTCCAGCTACTGGCAAGGCCGAGGCAGAAGGATCATCTGAGTCCAGCGGGTCAAGGCTGCGGTAGCCATGAGCGTGCCACTGCACTCCAGCCTGGGCAATAGTGAGACTTCGACTCAAAAAAAAAACCAGTAAGTAACACTTAACCCCTCAAAATCATTAAATAATGTGGTTATCTTTATTGGCTGTTTCAATGAGTTACTTCTGATCTATATGTAATTAATAAGTTCCTTGTTTTCGTATTTTTTTTTTTTGAGTTGGAGTCTCACTCTGTCACCCAGGCTGGAGTGCAGTGCTTACTGTCACCACAGCCTCCACCTGCTGGGCTTAGGTGATCCTTCCACCTCAGCCTTCCAAGTAGCCGGAACTACGGTGTGTGCTACCATGCCTGGCTTGTTTTTTGATTTATTGTAGAGACAAGGTCTCACCAAGTTGCTCAGACTGGTCTCAAACCCCTAGGTTCAGGCAACCCTTTCGCCTCAACCTTCCAAAGTGCTGGGATTACAGGCTGAGTCATTGTGCCCGGCCTCTTGTTATTTTTTATTTTTTTGAGTCAGTCTCACTCTCTTGCCCAGGCTGGAGTGCAATGGCATGCTCACAGTCACCGCAGCCTAGATCTGCTGGGCTCAGGCGATCCTTCTACCTCAGCCTTCCAAGTAGCCAGAACTATAGGCATGTGCTACCACACCCAGCTAATTTTTTGATTTATTGTAGAAACATGGTCTTGCCAAGTTGCCCAGGCTGTTCTCAAACCCCTGGCCTCAGGCAATCCTCTCACCTCTGCCTCCCAAAGTGCTGGGATAACAGGCTGAACCACTGTGCCCGGCCCCTTGCTATTTTTAATATATTTGCTGTTTAAGCCCAGCAGATTGAGGCTGCGGTGGCCGTGAGCATGCCACTGCACTCCAACTGGGGGACAGAGGGAGACTTCAACTCAAAAAAAAAAAAAAAAAGCTGGGCTTGGTGGCTCAGCCTATAATCCCACGCCTTGGGAGGCTGAGGTGAGTGGATTGCCTGAGCCCGTGGGTTCGAG